CAGGGGAATTTGCACCTGGCGGTACACGTATGTATACGCGCGCCGGCAATCATACAGTATATATCCGTTGCCACGACGAGGAAGGAGAGTCGGATTCCTCGCCGTTAGAAAGCGCGTACACACAGACGGCCGTATGCAAAATCCTGCGGACGATGGAAAGTATCCTCGGTAACGTACGGGCTACATCTCACTCCGAGAGAGGTGACGGCAAATAATTATCGTCGTTGGTTTACGGCACCATCGCCGCTACCACGATAAGTCGAAAATAAAGTGTATGCATCCGACATGCATCCGTGCCTTTATAAAGCTTACTCTCTAATATATTCTTTGCTTTCTTTTTTTATTGCTTTTTATTCATTTTTTTTAAATTTTTTATTTTATCAATTTTTTCCTCTTTGCGATTCTCTTATCGACAATCGTGTTTCTTGTCTCTTCTGAAGTTCATGAACTATCTTCTGCGAAAAGAGAGATAGACAAAAAAAGAGATTAAAAAAGTAATAAAAGGTAAGAAACAGGATGCAAAGAGTACATTGTAGATTAAATTTAAGAATTGACTAAAATATGAGATGTAAACTTATATCAGAAACTCAAGTACCGCAATTATTAAGACAGTTTCCTTCCGATTTTCACTTAAAAAAAAGTTTTTAATGGACAACGATATGAAATTGTTGGAATCATGAGTGTTTAAAAAAAAAGGGGACAAGGAAGCATTTATCATCCTCTTAAATTTTAGCAAGGAGAAATAAATTATTAAAATAATTTTCACGACGCAAAACTAAACACTCATCAATGCATGCATGATGACTCACATATTATTCATAAGAAAGTTTGCTCAAGATCTTCGACGTAATAAGTTGCATATAAGTTAATATGTATATAAGCATTTTAAGTTATGTAAAGATATATAAATTTTTGCCCCTTTCTCTTACTGAAATCCTAGGTACATCCATGCATGCGATTACATTATTTTCCTGTTTCGTCACAATGCTTTACATTCTCCGGGTCATCAGGAAGTAAGCATATTTTATGGAAAATCCTGACAAAGCGTATACAAAATCCGCGTAATTTAAGCGATTTTAAAACGAGTTAAAGTACTGTAGTTAATGTTGCACATTCTTCCTGCACGCAATCCTATTACGATATCTGACCTATTGTTCGAAAGAGAAACAGTAATAGAAATAACTCAAGCCGCACGTTGAGTGTGTCATCAGGCACCGTTAGGGTCTGCGCAATTTGTTTTACGATCTCATTGTATCGTTTGATATAAGTCGCTTATCTTGTATTCCATAAACGGGTCATAGTTAAATTTCAATTTGACGCACAGGAACGTGAGAAAGGAGAAGAAGTAGGTGGGCGAAGCGCAGGTTGATCAATCTGGCAGATGGATTACGTGCTTTCCTTCGGGGCGGCATCAGAGCGGGCCTTTAAGAGGCCTCGAAGAGGCTACTGAATTACTGACAGCCAAATAACAGGCCGATCCACGGGACGATGTTCTCCTCGTTGTCGGCGCCCTTTCTCTTCTTCTTGTATCTCGGGCCCGCACTGCTCGCTTGTCCCAATATGGGCCAACATATTATGCATATCGGTCATCGTGGTCCTTATCTAAACGACGTAAGTAGAGACGCATTCCTTTGGAGAAGCCGACCGCGGACGTTGTTCCGCGACAGACATCGCTTCTTCAGACCGACTTGATTAGAGAGAGAATTCCGTCTCCATCTTTGTGAACGCAATCCTTCGGATGGACGATCGTACGACTGACGGCGTGTGATTACTGATCGACGTAATATTGTGTTCCCACCAATACTGAGAAAATTCCGCCATTCACTGTGGCGGATTAATACGGCGTAAAAAGGAGGCGGCCTTATGAAGTTAAATTCGCGCTTGATTATTAACAGCTGTAATGCAACGCTGATATAGGCGCCTATTCATTATCTCCGCTCCGTCAAAAGGCTTTTAAAGGGAAGTTACGTAAAGCACGTATTATACGCGTGAATACGATTAATTGCCACGATTTGTTCCATCCACTTTAATGTATGTTCATATAATCACTGTCGTTTGTTCCTTTCTCCTTGCAGCCGCGCCCGAATTCGTCGTCTCCTTACTTAACCGCACACGTACCTGCAGAAATCGATCGACGTCGATCTTGAACCGGCACGTCTACTAAACCGAGAGCGTACCCCGTACAGTGCACTCGTTAGTATCACCTAGCTCAATAATTACAACCGCGCGATATTTTTCCTCAGCTGTTCGATAAGATCCGGCGCAGAGGTCGCGCAGAGACATAATCTATAATTACATCGGTGCGCCGACTGATGCACGGATACAATCGTATTGCTTGTTAACACACACTCCTGCGATCGCACCTATCGTTTCTTTTCGTACGGGAGTACTGAAAGATGCCTGGCTAGTTCTGTATTAGCTTGTAAAATATAGATATATCCTTGCGTTCAAAAGGGAAATGATTACGTTCGGCTATTTGTCTGTTGCGCGCAATGGTAAACGTCTCAATATTCTATACTTTGAAATGTATTACTATAACGAATTACACAGCAAGCAGTGTGGAGAGTCTGCACTGTTCGTCTGGCAAATGCTTTGAAGCAAGGTAAACTATGGTTGTGTTCAGAAAAAGCAGTTTTACAACTATTGTGAGATTCTTCAATATGATTGGTTTGTACATTTAGATCCAATAAGGATCCACTAAGGGCAGGAATCAATCATATTAACGTGTTCCGTGTCGTGTGGGTCGTTGGACTTTCCATTCAGGCTGAGAGATGTTTTGGCTATAAAATACTCTTTGATATCATGCATAAATACATAATTATAATGTACAATATTTTTCTATTTTTGCGATATCAAATATTATTTATAATTTTTAATTTTACATGGAAATTATAATTAACAAGCTGGATACAAACAAAGCAAGGAATTGTAAAAATGAAAACATTTTGCAGTGATTGTCCTGACAAAAAAAAATCTCATTTGTGTTTATCCTGCTTCAACACAAAATATTGACATCGAGATTAACATGTATCATTTTAATTATAAAATGTTTATTAATTAAAGAATTGTTAAGAAATGTTTATATAAAAAAAAGATACGCATAAAAATATATATATATAAATTTCATGAAATACTTTTATTAAATGTTAATTTTATAAATAAATATTTAATAAAAAATATTTTTTCTTTGTTCTACATTGAACTATGCGTTCTATAATACATTATACATTTGACCTTCTTTATTATAATATTTTTGTAATTATTTAATCATTACACAATATATTTTTCACAAATATAATAGCCATGCCGACAATCGTCGGTGACCCGTTGCGACGTGATGAACAAGTTACATGAAATTGGTCTGAAACATGTTAAAGAATCTTAACGTAGTCTATATTCCTATACAATTCGTTTTACGATCGCCTATATTGCTTCATTAGCTTTCCGAGTTATCCCCTGGGAAACCAATAAATACAGTTGGCACGCGTCCAGTCGTTCTTTGGGATATTAGAGCGATCCAGATGCGACGGATGATCATTAATTTGTTACCCGTCGAATACGATCGAGCCGCAGGGGAGTTGGATATGACGGTCTGTCGTGTCGCAGTTAGTCAATGCTGAAGTCGGGACCACCCCGATTTGCCTGAGTTGCCCTCTCGCTTCTTCGTCTCGGTGCGGCGACCTTCGCACTTCTCCACCCTCCGCTGTTTATTCGCGCTCTCTTGTTATCTTCTTTGTGCGCGATTTCTCCCTTTCTCACGTCTATGTGATTCATAGACTCGGCGGGAAGAACCTACATGCAGATGTACGTCCCGACTTGTTTCTCGGCAAAGCAACAAGCCCATCTACTTTCCTCGCGTCATGCTGAGATCAATGGACAAGAAGTGAGAATCAAATGTCTTCGGATATCAAGAATATTTATCGATGATATATTTCGTGTGATAAATATATGGTCGTTATATAATGATCCATGATTCTGCAAAATTTCTGGTAATTTATAAAATATTATTGAACTGAAGATTAATTTCTTTCAAAAACGTTTAGTGCTGATAGATAAGAAAGAAAAAAAAAATCAATCATATGCTGTAATAAGATGTTATGTATTTCTGATTAATTATAGATTAAAAATATAAAACATGTCTTCTTAATTAAAATACGTTCAAGTTACACTAATTATCATACAATATTATATCAACTTTCGAACAAATACGAATACATCTAATTCAAATTTCAAATACAATTTTATAATTACATGTCAATTAATTTGAGTAAGTTGAAAGAAGAACTTCTCAAAACTTGGTAATAATTAATTTTATATAAAATAAAAATTACGCAGATTAGAGTAATAAATACATAAATCAAATTTGAACCATAAAATACTGATACTTGAATTATTCAAATTTGAATAGCTAAATTTGACTAAACCGACAATAACTATTTCGAGTAATTTCAGTCCGCAATATCATGATATATTACATCTCTAATTATGCATATTATAACTTCCCGGGAAAAAAATAATTATATATAAATAAACAAGTATGTTAATTATTATATATGAAAATATATATAAAAATAATTCATATATAATTAACATACTTGTATGTTTATAATTATAATATTTATATATATTACGTTTACATATAATTGTATACATAATTTATATGTATACAGTTATATAACATTTATATTTAACATTTTTTCCCAAATTTATATCCGTATAAATTACATAAGACGTAATACAAGATATACAAATGAATTAATACATTAATATACTTAAAAAAAATTCAAATATTAGTGATACTATTTATTAGTAAGCAATTATTAAATCAATTAATAAATTATATATTTGTAGGAAAGTTAATGTTATAATCATAAAACTGCTTCACATTAAAATGCGTCAATGCGTCTACTTAAACATATATTTCCATATCCATGTCATCATTGTTATTACTAATATTTATATAGAATGAATTTCTTCAAACTCTTTCTATCTTTGTCATGGGATGATCCTTCTTTATTGTTATAATTGGTCTAAATATAAACACAGTAATTAAATCATTGGGAAAGTATCACTGTAAAGAAAATGATAAGATTATATTTTATACGTATACTTATGTTAAAATTATATTTTATACACATTATTTGATTATTAAATCGAAATTAATATTCTCATTAGTTATATTTATTAGAAAGTCTCCAAGCTCGCAGCTATCATTTAAATTTCATAATACTTAAGATTTACAAGATGATTATAATCTTATATACATATATATATATATATAAGATTATATAGATGATAACATATTTGAATTAATAAAATGAATTAATATAAATTTAAATAATTTTATTTAATACTAAAATTAAATATAACGTATGAGTAAAATATTGTTCTTAAATTTAAATAATCTTTATTTTTTAATATTAAATGTTTTGTTTTGTTATATTAATTATACATACTAGAATATTTTAATTCAGAAATATAAAAATTAATATTAAATAATATTTACCTCTATTGATCTTGATTTTGAAGGTATTTTTATGATAAGAAACTGTATTCGCACTTTTTTAACTGTAATAAAATATACCATTTCGTTATATATGTTATAATTGCGTATAACAGAACATAACACACTAAAAATTCAAAATATAAAACATTACTATTAATAACATTTACCTCTGTTGAGTTGTAGCATTTTGCCAATTTGTTTTGTCTTATATGATGATAAATTATTGCCAATTTTCTGCTACTGTTGTTTCACCATTCTACACGTTATTATCTTTGATTTCTTTTTCAGATTCCATTAATAGTTGGTTTTGCATAACATGATCTTGATAATGGTTTTTTAAATTATCTATTTTGTCAAATACATCCGTATTAAAACTGCACTGATTGCAGTTTATGGTAACATTTTTCATCGAAATTGTAAAATGTTGAAGTAATGAATTATCTATCATGTTTATTTGCAACCTAGCTGCTATTTGTTTTAAATGTTTTTGTTTTAGATGATAATCTAAGCATGATTTATGTATACAACGAAATAAATGGTTGCATAATGTACATTTTACGGTATACATATTCTCTATTTTATCGAAATATGTCCACATCGAGTCGACATTGTCTTCCCACTTTAATTTTTCTTCTTCATATATTTTATGCACTCTGCGTAAATGTTCTATCCGTAGTTCCTTGTCTGTATAATAGTCATTTTCAATCAGGCATACTTGATTACAATGTTTGCACGATATTGTATTCTCGAATATATCAAAATGTTGCCATACCCAATTACACGATTTATCTTTTTCAGATGCCATTATATCTGCACGATGTGTTAAATACCGATTATGTCAAGGAACTGCTCAGAGAAACTGTTTCTTAGGAGAAAAGGGACGATGGAAGGAGAAAGAGAAGAAGAAAGATTGAAATATGTAAACGTCTTACTAAAATATAAATATTATTGTAATGTATCGAAGCGTGTAATGTATCTTCGAGTTAAGAGGGTAGTCACATAGGTTAGTTTCTATTAATTCTGTTGTCAAACATTCAGATGAAGATTAATACTATAGGTCTTATCCACTTTGACTAGAATAGAAATATAAAGTAATAAAAATTAGTGCAAACTATAAAATTTGAAAATATTTCTTAACTTTTTACTGTATGATTACTGCAACGTTGATTATCACAATTATTGCAATAAACATTCATGTCAAAATAAATTTTAATTTGTATTAAAATTCATTAGTATATAATTCACACGAAAGTGGAAATTTCGTAATAACGACATTGCTTCTTAGCCAGAGTGAAGTGATTAGCTATTCATTTCGATGCACTTTCGAACCCGCTCGACGGTTTAGCGGATTCTAATCTTCCTCGATGGCGAGTCAAGTTTCTCTTATCTCACGGTACCGATCCTGAATTTGCGTAACCGTTACGAGAAAGCGAGAGAAGAACATTGTCATCCCAGGGGTTAATGCGTTCCACATACTCAAGCAACCTTGATATTTCAGTCGACGTTCTAGGATGACCAGGCTGTTTTTCTCGTCAACTCGCCCAGATATATACCGCGTGCAAGAATATCGCGAGCGAATGTCCGTATCGTCGATTTAGACGCTGGGCGGAGCGTAACGAATTTCAATCGTGTGAATCCCATCGATGCCGTTCAAATGCATCGGCCGATTAGGGACGGTTAACCGTCGCTTGAATAGTGAGAGACAAACGAGATGTCATGATCGTAAGGTATTGCTGACTACAACGTTACTGCTGTTTGTATTCTTAACGATCAGCAGAAGATTTCTACTTCACGCATGATTTTCATGTTGTTGAGAACGATGACAAATGTATTTATCGCTCCCCCGACTTGCACGAGTCTCCAGAAATTTATCGCATCCATTTCTGTTGAATTACAAATGAAATCCCTCGGGATTGTTTCGTTCCAAAGAGCATATCATTTCTCTTATCTCTCGCCTCTCACGAACATGATTTTCCTTAACAATTCGGCGCTATAAACAATTCTTAATGGATTTCAGTCTATAAATAATGATATGTCCCATCATCTCTCATATCGGAAATATGATTATGTTGGAATAACCAAGTAAGTATAAGAGACTAACTAACTTGTAGCAGTTGCAAGGAGATAACGTGAGCGAGATAGACAGACGCGGCGGCTTAAAACATCCGATAAGAAGCACGCGCGCGGGGTGCTTAACGATTTCATAAAGAAGATAGCGGTCGAGGGTAGAGCTAATTAAGCGATACAATCCCTGCGTCCTAAGGGCCGTTAAAGCCAACATCAAGCGTACACTTATCCATGGTGGAAGATACTTAAGATACCGCCACCGAGCATCGACTTGCCTAATTATACATGACACTTTGGTGCTTCGTGTTCGCCACACGATTCAATCTTTTGGTATATTGTTATTCATATTCGTTTTTATAGCATTTTATTATTTTATATTCATAATTTTATATTTTCACATAATTTGCAGTTGTTATATAGATATTGTACTTACATAACGCACTTTTTTTTATAATTATTTGCAGAGTAAGTTATGGAATGAAGATCTATATAGATACTTTGAAAGGAAATATTCTAAGGGAATTATGGAAAGAGGAAGCTAAAGAGTTGATGAAGAATTGATGAAACATAGGAATAAGAATTCAAATATATATAGGATAAGTCCGGAAAAATTTAATTATTAAAAGATATATGCGAACACGAAGATGAAGAAAAAGCTATCCCTAAAAAAACATAAAATTTAAAAAAGAAAAAATATACGCTAAATATGTAAAAAAGATATCGAATATTTCATTCTTCTTAATAAAAAACGGATACGAAATAAATGCAATTGGTCAAGTATTTCATTTCGCATATAAGATATTTTTGTAAATCATTTATTTGTTATACCTACATTTTGTGGCAAAATTTTTAAAAATTTCCGCTGAATATTACTAAAAATACTACGAGCCTCGATTATCGGTTTTCGTCGATCCCAAATCGGAGTGTCACGCGCCACGCCCTGATCGCATACGCATACGTGCGTACGTATTACGTCGTCTCGAGCCTACATAAGAACGTTCACCAGCGATACAGGGTAGATAGGTAGAGTCGGTGTTCCGGACTGGTCGAAGTGGCGCGGACAGGTCCGCAGCCAGAAGTTGATCCACGATTATGGTCCCGTGCACGCCCTTGTTCCTTCGATCCTGCTTGATAACCGGTGCAAGTTCCCGGCCGTGAAACAGTTTTCGGCTGGAATCGTTTTCATTGTCGACACAACACGACCAATCTCTTTCGACACAGAATGTCTCGCGTTACTCCCGTGGACGACTCGCTGGGTCACCGAATTCTTCAAGGAGTGATTCTGGTGATTCTCTCACGAACGGTACCATGAATATTCGTCCGAAAGAGTTACTCGTTTCGAAGGTAATGTCTCACGGAATTTAAATCCTTCCGGAAATTGGACACGAAATTTAAGATTTTTAACTGATGTCAAACTAGTAATGAGAATTAAATGGCGAGAAAGATAAATATAAGGTAAATGTTCTAATAATTAAATATGCTTAGTGATTGAAAAATGAACAATATATTCATAATTATTAAGATTTTTGTTAAAAACAGTAAGAGAGAAAATAACTAACATAAAGAAGTTCAATATTTTATATCAAAGTAAATAATAAAAAAGCCATATAATTCTAATTGCAAATTATTGCAAAATATTTTTTTATTTCAAGTTTCATAAGGACAGTCTATGTTTTCATTCATCTTTTTATTATTTTGAATAAGAGTATTTACATTTTCAAAATTATTAAAATATTATACTGTATTTATCCAACCATGTAATGTTTTTTATTATTATAAAAAACTAAAAATTAAATTTTTTGGAAATTTATTTTATTAGAAATTCAGTTACTGGTACAAACGATAATACATCAATGAAATTTCACTTAAATATTCTTATTTATATATATAGGTTTGAATGACAATATTTTTCGATTACCGACAAAGTTTCATATGAATATTAATTCTTTTTGTAATGCTACTAATTAATAATCAATAGTATCAAAATTGAGAACATAGAATTGATCATAACTTATTCATTAATTCTCTAAAACTTATTCAGTCATTGAGACAGTCATTTACCTTATATCTCAAAAAAATTCCAACGATAGTTCAATTGAGTAAAATATGTTATGATCTTAGATATTTATGCATCGTTTTTAGATATTCAAGTGTTACAATGTAAAATTTATCTAAGCGACAGGTTTTAAATATAACTGTTTCCGTCCCGTTAGTCTTGAAATTATACGTTGCTTATAGATTGCAACATTACCACAATTATCTTCGTAACGTAGATAATGCGGTGACTTAGACTTAGAGGATTTGAAATTCTTTCTTCCTGACGATCGCGCAGATTTGCTGCTCCTGACGTTACTCGCGCACGTTTGCGTCTTGTTTTGCGACATGGAAAGAGCCATTGAATATAACCGCAACATCATGTGTGAGATACGACGTTTAATGGAGGACTTAGTCTAATGTTATGGTCGCATGATATGCAGAAATACAGGCTTCGACCGGGCTCGATTTACTAATTATTATGCAGGTCACCTGAAGTTGTCGGATACTTTCGTGGTGAACGCGCGCATGATATCACATGCAACAAATAGGAATCACGCAGGTGCAACTTGACTCGAGAACCACGCTAGAATTCTCCTTCACTTCCCACCCCCATCTTTCCCTTCGGTCTTTTCACAACCTTTCTCTCCTTGCTACCACGAGGAACATGATTCGCACACTTCTCGCGTTTCCATAAAGAGACGAAGAAAGTTACGTGCATTCCTGGACCGGCGTGTGGTCTACGTCGTAGAGCAAATATTCCGCGACGTAAAAAAAGAGGTGTAAAGGCACACCTGCGCTTGTCGCGTGGGTGTTTCGCGACAACAAATGTCATCGTGATGTATCCTTCGAGGACATTTTTCTTCGTCGTTATGATCGCATACAGTCATGAGTGTGCGTAAAGGGAGCAAAGAGAGACGCTTGCTTCCTTCCCTCTCTAAATGTTAGAGGGAATGAAGAAGAAATTAAATTATGAAAATTAATTTTATGATGAAAAGTTAAATGCTCATTATTTGTCTCATGCGTTATTCATTAAAAATATTTATTAAAGATCCTCGAAAGTTGGCTTTAATATATTTCAGTAAATTTTATGTGAAGATAAATTTTGTGCCTCTGACTGAAATTCTGATGAGTACAGTCCTTGATTTTTAAAGAGATATTATGAAAAGACCTTACGATACAAATGTATTATAAAGTCAAATAAATTACAAAATTTTG